AGTTTTATCATTATGAAAATAAACTATATTCATGAAAATTTGAAAAAAAGTTAAAACCCTTTAATCTCAATTAAAATTAGTTATTAATGGATGAATAAATTTTTCGTTTTTTTTTAATCAGATTAGTTAAAAAAATTCTTTTAGATTCATAATTAAAATTTTTTGAAAGAGAGGATACAGTGAATTTCCTGCATAGATTGAAACGTATAATAACCATCTTAAAAGACCTGTTAATGTACTCACATTAACTCTTAATTAGTTATTAATCAATTAATTAACATTTTTTCTGTGTTCATGTTTTTTATTCCTAGATGGATGTGGGAAAAACAAGATTTTTAACATATAATGCTTTTAAAAATGTTTATGTGTAGATATCAATTACGTAGTAAAAATAATTCACATTTACTTATAATGATTAGCATTCAGTACTATACCAGAATTATATAAGAGTGAGAGTGTATATTAGTATTTTGCTGATTTTTTCCGATCTAAAAATTTAAGACTTCGTTGCGCACAGTATTTTTATAACAATAATTGATTATCAAAGATTATTACTTTTGAAAGGAATTCTTTTGAATATAGAAATAAATTATTATTAATTCAAGATAGAAGTTTTCGAAACTCGTGTATTATTCATTAACATGTGAGCGCGCACGCGTGTATTCGATTAACTGTAAAATTAAGTTATTTAACCGTTCATTAATTTTTTTGTCAAAAATGTGCTAAATTGCTGGAAAATCAAATTTAAAAGTAATGTTTTACTTATTTAGCTGTGCACATAAGTAAATTGTTAATTTTATTATAAAATTTTGATTATTTTTGTGTTAAAAGTATTTGAAGATCTTTGTTAACAGTAATATATACGGATATACCGATCTACATAATATTCTGAGCATTGAACTATCATCAGTTTGAGTTCAATTATGTGTTTGGAATCATTTGTACATTATTAATTATGATTTATTTGTATATTGTTAGTTTGAATCACACAGGAGCGTAGCTACCTCCACATTAGCCATATCAATGATATGGACCTTCAAGCTACAGGGGCCCTAACATATGTGAGGAAAAATTGTTAATACATTAAGAGGTCCCAAAAAAGGACGTGCAAGAAATTTTGCTACTGGGTCACTCAGAACTAGCTACGCCAGTGGTTTGAATTCAATTATATATTATTAGTTTGAGTTAAATTGCATATTATTGGTTTGAATATGCTTTTTATTTTCACGAATGGAAATTATAGATGAAATTAGGATTAATGCATTAAAGTCTTTTTGTTTTGAAAAGTGATTGTTAATCAGAGTAAAAATAAGATCTTACAAAAATAAAATCCTTACGTGGATTGTTTTTTTAATGAGAAGGTAGCTTGAGAATATTACATTAATTCTTTGCGGGGAAATAATTGTATGTTAAAAATCAGGGTTTCGAACATTCCGGTTCAAACAAACAAAAATTAAATAAATCGGCTTAGTTTCTGTTTTTGTTCCACCGGTTTTCAGCGCAGTTCCGAATACTAAAAATATAATTCTATTTCTATTATAAACAAAAAATGTAATTCTATCAAAATTTAGAAGATTTCATTTTTCGTTTAATTGGTACACTGTGTAAATTGATACAATTAACCAGTATGTTCGATACGAGCGGTGAACAGAGATCGGCGAGTATTGGCATTGTTATACCTTATCAAAATCACATTTGACAACTAGGTTCATGATTATGCTGATTTTATATACCCTTGTCGCTTGAATCTTGTAATAATGATAGTTATATGGTTGGCATTAAAACAGAAAATATTGATATGTTGGTTGCAGTAACAAAATTACTAAAGATACCGAATGAACTGAAATAAGCTAATATATTTTTTTCGGTTCGGCTCCGATTTATGTTCGACCAAAGTAACGTTTATTTCCGGTTTGGGGCTCATTTCGGCTCGAAGACCTGTTAAAATTACTCATTGCATTTGGTATGATTTCCCCTTATTTATTATCAGTAATATGATTATAAATTGAAGCATATAAAAAGAATAAAAGACTTTTATTACGTAATTGGTTGTTCAATCAAATTATACAGCCATTGATACTATTACCAATCCTGAAAAATAATTTTCTGAAATATTATAATGTATGCGAAAATGAATTTTTCAATATTTAATTGTTAAATAAAGCAAACGTTTTTCAAAATATTTATGCGATATGAAATTTACATTTTTTGTACTATGTAATGATATCTAAATTTTTTATCATTTTTCTCTATATTTATGTGAAAGGAAAATTGAAAGTGAATTTTTAAACGGGGAAAGCATTTTTACTTTCATTTGTCTCTTACTAATATATTTTTAAGAAACTAGAAATATTCCTAACGTTCTTAAGCAAATAGGAGATGTATAATGCAATTAATAAAACAAAAATGTATTTTTCAAAAAGTATCTGAAATTTTCCTCTAAAAATAAGTTTTTTAAAGTATCATTTCTGGTAAATATTATTAAAGCTTAAGTACCGTAAAATCCGGCGTATAGCGAGAACTTTGAACACAAAAAATAAGAACTAAATTTACGAGAGCGTGTGAAACGCCGGGTATAAAAATGATACCTTAAAAAAGAAGAGATGAGTATAGAAAAAAAATTACACTCTCTCGACATAGATCGAAATACTGTTTATTTAAAATAAAGGACATTCCTTATGAAATTAAAGGTAGTAGTTCTAAAAATATAATATTTTTTATAAAGCTCGGAATAATACCTCAGATACATGACTTCAAAACCAGAGAGAATTGCGCCCGTACATTTCAAGTTTCTTCATAAATACCAGAGGAAGCGCGGGATAAATACGACGAATATACCTAAAAATTAAAAATTACAGTTTGAAAGTATAGATGCGTGATATACGCCGGATTTTACGGTAAGTTGAAATAAAAAATTAATATCAACTTCTAATAAATAGAAATAAAAGAATTTGGAGAGCAAAGTTATTTGAGAGAGAGAGAGAGAGAGAAATTACTGTTAAATTTTTTTTAAGAGGGGTTACAAATATATATTTCATAAATTTTTTTGTTCTGATATCAGGACGCTTTACGCTAAGGATTTCCATATGTTGTTAATCCGCTTTTTCCCCTAATAAATATATTTATGTTATTTTAAAAACTATTTTTAGTTTATTAATTTAATCAATAGTAAATACATATTAAAAATAAGGTTATGATAATTAGTTATAAGAAATCTGTTCCAAAAGTATACAAATGCCTTAACAAAAATAAGTCGTGACAGAAAATTTTAGTACATAAAGCGATGAGGAATAAAACATAAGTTGTAGTTTGATCATTGGCATTACTTAAAAAAGAAGGGGGGCATGCTTCGGTAAACGTAGCTTGCAATTAATTCTAAATACAGATTCAAAAAGATGGAGATGTTGCTTTATAATAAAAAAAAATGTTTTATAATAAAATTCTTTAGAATAAAATTGTTTAACAAAACGTAAACTTTAAAATTTTTGTTTGTAATAAAATTGTATAACAATTGTTTTTAACAAAATATTTCATAGTAAAATTATGAAAAAAAGACTTCTTAAAATGCTATTGTCTTTAAATGCATTCAAGCCAAAATTCTTCAAGTAAAAAAAAATGTCTTATTTTTTAAAAATAAAATTAAAAGTTTTTTTTAGTTAATTAAAGGCAAAATTGTTAATAATATATGAACACTTTTAATTTTTCAAAAAAGTCTAGGACTCTTAAAATTTAAAAAAGAGAGTACAATATAGTAATTAGATTACAAGCGTTACAGTATTATCTCTATCAAAAATTAAACGGTAAAAACAATATTTTAAACAGTTATAGGAAGGAAGAAAAAAGTACTTTAAACAGTAGGATGAAAAAAAATCAGTATTCTAAACGGCAGGAACAGAAAAAAAATGTAAACATGAAAGAAACCATGAGGGTAAAGAAGGAAACAAACTAAAAATAATGTTACTATTTATAAAGCCCGTAGTTAAATTGATTAGGATCAAAAGAAAGAATGCATTACCAACTAAGAAACAAAAAAACATATTAATTTATTTTTATGAAGTAATACTTGCAACTACATATCATTGCAAGTTTTAGGTCTACCTTATCAAAGTAAAAATGTATGGATAGAATATTCTGAAAAAATGTTTGTTTATAGTTCTCAACTTTACATACTAAAAAAAACAACCTAAGATACTCATAAATTTTCTTTGCTTTAATTTTAGTAGCTGTATCACTAAATTAAGTATTATGATGGGTTATGTATACATAAGTAAACAAAAAAGTTCTGTCGACAACTCATCAAACTGAAACGACACGCCCAGAGTTCTAGAGGAAGAACAAAGAGATGGTGAACCGCACCCTATACTGACCAGCTTGTGACCCAAACACTGACCGGGCAGGTGATGCTTAGGCTTAGGTGGGTTTTGTTTGAGCAATGTTTCCTATCATAGAGCTATGAAAGTTTTAGAAGATCTATAGTATCTCTATGTGAAATGTTCTTTAACGAAAACTTTTTTTTATCGCTGTTGCATAATGTATGTTATATAAGTGTAAAAAATGCGTCATCGAAAAGACAGCTTGAGTTGCTATATTTCTGGAGGTTCTTCTAATATGAAACATACATAAATGAATGAAATATAATTGCATTTATACAGAGATAACTCTTGTATAACATCAAGAGAAATAGTTTGGATTCTAAATTAACACATTTTTCAAAAAAATTCTTTTAGTTCACTCTCTCCCTATATATATATATATATATATATATATATATATATATATATATATATATATATATATATATATATATATCTTGTTCAAATTTTCATTCGTTATTAAAATACTTTCTATTCATCCGTTCTAATACATTTTTTACCTTGTAGTGGATGACGATGTTAATACAGTTTTTTCAAATATTAATTTATTGATTAAATCAAAATTGAATAGTGACAAACAAAAATAATAGTCCAACAGCATTTATAGAAATGGAACTCTTTCATTGTGTCCCTGTAGCGCAATGGATAGCGCATTGGAATTCTAATCCAAATGTCATGGGTTCGAATCCCACCTGGGAAGGTGAGAATGGGATTTCTTTATATTATACCATTTCATTAGAATAATCAAACTTTATTAATGAATAAATAGTAATAAACAAAAATAACAGTTCAACACCCTATATAGAAAGGAAAATGGAAATTAGCTTTCTATTTTGTCACTCGATATTGTGATTCTGTCATGTATATAATAATTTATGTTAATTGTAACTCTATTTAATAAAAAGTAAAATATAAAATTTTCTTTGTTGACCTACAAGTAGGAATTCCCTTAAATTTTTTTATATTATTTGTTTATAAACATTTTATGAGATTCAAGTTAAATATAGTATATGGGGCAAATTCTGCGATATTTTATTGGCCATCTATTAACCACTGGAAGTTTTAATATTCTTATTCACCATAAAATACAAAAAAAGGAGCATAAAAACAGTAAAATTTAGTAAAATTTTTGATTTTCTTAAGTTCATACAAGCGGTATTCATCTTTCATATCAAGTTGATTCTTTAAACTCGAACAAAAATTTATTGATATGAATGCGTGTAGAGGAATAAAAAGAATAAAGAACCCACAAATGTTTGTTACTGATAAGAAGCATCAGCATGTAAAGGCTTAACATTCATTGATTTGTATTTGCTTCTTTTATCGATATGACTCTCAAGAAATTTTAGAACTATCCTCGGATGTTTTCTTTTGGATATATCGTGAGCCCTGTAACTAATTATCTAACTACTAACATTTTAGATGCAAAGAATCTCGTATTGAAAAATATTCTTAATTAAAAAAAATTGTTTCCATTGGATTCACATTTTTCCACGATAGTCAAAAATTTATCAAGACGCAACAAGATTTTGTCCGTATTTTTAATAATAAATATTAATGGTAATTGTATTGGTTAATATTCATCGGCACAAATAAATGTTTTTAGTAAAGTTTGAAAATATATTCGAAATGAAAATTGATGCGCCAAAAAAAGTTATTGAACACGTGAAAATAACTTAATTTTTAAGGATATATGCACTGCCAATGATTAAACAATAAAAATATTTCTAGTTATAAGGATTCAATTCCTTCTTATAAAAAACGAATGTAATATGAGAATTTTTTATTTAATTTTAAAATTGCATATTTAGTAACATTTTTGGGGGCTTTTATTTGATAAAAATGAATATAATACTGGCTGAGATAATTAGAATATATCCATCGTGTTTCGTTAGCATATGTATTATTTACCATACTCAAATATATCAATAATGAATGTTTTATGCTAAGAATAGCAGTAAATAATCCATGGAAATACTTATTTATTAATTCTTCACCATAAACATTTATTCAAATGGTTAAGAGTGTACGAAAAAAAAACGATGTGAAAATGTATAGATATATCCTGTTAAAATCACAATCATGTTATACAAAAAGAACAATTAATGAGTCACTTTGTGGAACGATCCCAATATGTGAAGTTTGCTTGAACTTCTTTTACCTAATTATTAATTAAAAATTTTAATTTTTTAGATACATTAAAAATTTTAACATTGGAAGTACCGTTAGCATTAGCGGAAACAGGAATTTTTCAAGGGAGGGTCGAAAGTCCACTATTCTCGTATCTTGCGAGCAATCTTTACTTTCTATTAAACTTGAGTCACGAGTTCGAGCCCAGTACCACTAAAGACCCGCCGTGTAGGGCAGCGATGCACGCTAAATCTGTCGAGAGCTGAAACGTCCTCCCGTTGGTGTGGTGTGGTAGTTAGGAGAGGGGGTGCCAGTTCAGGTGTCATCCACGTCACTTGACCATGGTTCCAAATTACGTGGTCCGTCGCCAAAAGCCCTCGTGTAGCTGAACAGTGCGACGTTAATATTCAATCAATTCAGCAAAAAAAAAAGCTTATGCCAAATTGCACCGGCAGTTCTTTTTTCTTTGTACTATCATAAGAAAATAACTCGCCAAGGGACTAAAATAGGATCTGACCAAATAAATAAAAAATGATGCACTGCTTTTGTAATTTTACCGAAAGGGAGTAAATTTTTGAAATTTTTTTTCTAAACAACGCTTTGCTAAGAGCAATTTTGGATATGTTACTGAAAAATACATGCACTCATCGCACATACGTATATATAATACGAATACAATACAATTTTAAAATGTAGTCAGAAACCTCTATACAGGGACTAAAACAGAGCGCTAATGGTGTGCTTGGTAAATAAATAATCTGGAAATAAATCTTTCTTCTATCTTCATTTTTTTTTATTTTTGAGTATTTACTCGACTTTATTAAATGAAACACACACACACACAAGTAATATGAAAAAAATTAAAGTGAATTCCTACTTAGATCAGCAATGAAAAATATTAACTTTTTATCAAATAATTATAATTAACATAAGTATGTATATACATATATGACAGAATCACAATATTAAGCGGTAATTAATGTTTAATAATTACCATTAAAGTATCATATTGTTATCCAAAACAATCATGTATATAAAATTTCAGTTCAACTGAATACTTTAAAACGCAAGAAAGAAAAATATTTTAAAGTATTGACCCAAGTCGCTAAAAATGAAGCCAGCGTGACTGTATCTGTAATTCTTTAAATAGTTAGTTTCAGTCAATTAATTTTAATTAATTATAATTAAATTATCATATTGTCACCCAAAACAATTGCGTATAGAAAAGTTTAGTTTAAATAAGTACTTTAAAATGTATTTTATTAACAATTGAAAATTTGAACAAGATACACACACACACACACACACACACACACACACACACACACACACACACACACACACACACATATATATATATATATATATATATATATATATATATATATATATATATATATATATATATATATATATATATATATATATATATAGCGAGATTGTGAACTAATAGTAGGAATTGAAAAAGATTGGTTGTACAAAAACTAACCTCATGTTAAATTAAAATTAATAATGTTAAAAAGAATTTTATAATAGGGATACATTGATATATTTCTTAAATTACTACCCGTTATTATAGCTCATGATTAACGAAAGAATTGTGAATGAATATAAAAAAGGGATTATATTTGATTAGGAATTTAAGAGAAAATGAGCTTAAAAAGTAAAAAAAGGAATTTTGGCATAACTTACTACTTAAAACATAGCTTGATTTTTTTAAAATATATAAGTGGTTTAAAGTCATTGAGACTTTTTCACTTATATTTGAATAGGACAAAAATCATTACGGGAAAAACTATATTAAATAAACTACAAATTGATAAAGGATTTTTTTAAAAAATAAAAATTTTTATTCAATAGAAAAAAATAATATGAAATTCAAATTACGCAATCCACGTGTTAATTCCAACAGCATGTTGAACAAATAGCATGTTGAAATTTGAAACAATATCACAAAACATATCAACGCTTAACATATACAGAATAAATCAACATATGCTCTCTATACAAAGAAGCTGAATACAACATTTTGATTCCGTTTTACGCTTTCAGATTCGTTGCAAACCAAGATTACAAATACCCGTGGGAACATTTGGATTTTATCATTTGCTGATATAAGAGTTTTATTGTATTTATTTTAACATCAGGAGATTCTTAAGAGTTGTTTCTGCAATACTATTGTTACATGAGAGTTATTTCTTTTCTTGGCAATCACTTTTCCGCTCTTAAACTTTTTGGTCTGATTCTTTTTACATTTTTGATAGCTTATTGCCAGAAAGTAAATAAAATCAATTTCCTGAGTATAAAGCTTTTTTTTTAAAAAAAATATGAATATAATATTTTTTTTAAGAATATGGGATTTTAAAGTATATAATATATTTAAGATATTAGGAATTAAACGGGAAATAAGTGAGCTTTTAATTTCCTAAGAAAATTAATGGAATTTTATAAATTTAAATTAAACGTATAGTGTGAGTTATTTTATTCGGCGATTCTAATCTTTAATAGTAATATTTAACTAATGATGATCAATTGATATACTTTAAATAAAAAATAATACGGTTAGTAAAATTTTTTTTATGTGTGTAGCTACTTCCACCGATTGCTATATACACATGATGAGTAGCGGCCCACACAGGAATTTTTCAAAGAGGAGATAGGCGAGGGGGGTATAGGGTCGAAAGCCAACCATTCTCGTATCACACTCCAATACGCCGCCCAATATATTATTTTGATTTTGTCGATTTTAGGGAACAACAAACAGTAAAAAACTAGTTATTGAATAAATAACTAATTTATATTAACTTAGTTATTGATTAATTAATATTAATTAATAAAATTAATTATCGATAACAAATACTTGATCACATTTTACGTTCTATATACATGGGATTATAAGCAATCGAAAAGAAAAACCGAAGGCTATGGGGGGATCTGGACTTGCCCCTTTGTATGCGCTACTATATACCAGTACATACATGGTGAGCAGTGGCACACACAGGAAATTATCAAGGGGGGGGGATTCGGGGTCAAAAGTTCATCATTCTTGTATCATGCTCCTTTTGATTTTGTCGATTTTCGGGAACAAAACAGAGTAAAAAACTAATTATTGAATAAATAATTAGCATTAATTAATAAAATTAATCATTAATAACAAATACTTAATTAAATTTTATGCACTATAAACTTAGAATTATAATCAATCGGAAACAAATCAAGGGCTTTGGGGGGGAGGGGTCCGGACCCCAGGTACCCCCTTGTGCGCGCCACTGATGGTGAGTAAGGAACGATATGTATTCCCATTCAAACCTGAACATTTACTTGATGCATATGCAGTGGCGTCTTATGACAGGGACTCCCAAAGTGGTCTATATGTATTCCCAGGGGTCTATGACAACGTACAAGGGGTCCACGTCAGCAGAAATATAATTTGGAGGTGCATGAGGTGTAAATATAGGATCTATGATAGCCTAAACCAGATCGTGACTTTAATTTTAAAGGGAAATTCAATCAAGTGTAAACCAGATTTACCTATTTAATAGCTTTATTTACTAAATTTACTGTGTTTAA